TGGCAACAGCTGCTGGTGCCCTCCAACAAAGGCAAAGTCGTAAATCAAGTCATTCATTACACCGAGCAGTCTACCATACTTTGGCGCAAGATAAACAAACTACATATTTACTTTACTTACTACTTTATCTAACAAGTAGGCGAACTTTCCTTCTTTAGTTGCAGATCTTATTTAAATTACAATCTATGGCTAGTGCAAATGAGTTTTTCCTATTACCATATAAAATATCGACCACCAATATGGCTCTAGCTAGGAGTGTAATGTGTAAAAATTGCTTTCCTAATGAATATGTTACAATATTGGTTATAGTAATATATTACTGTGAGACAGGCATAATTTAAAGCTAGGTTGAATTTTAAACAAACGTGACGTCTTCATTGGCGCCTTCATAAAATTCAGCATCAACCGCAGTATGAAATATCCTGCATAACGTAATTCCGTGTTTTTCATATTAAAAATATAATAACAATACAGAAAATTATTATTTTTAAATATAGAATTTTATTTTAAACTTAATTAATTCAGAATAGAAGAAGAAGAAAGAATTAAAAGAATTACGTCTTTAAAAATATTTACACTAAAATACGGCAACCCTGAATCCATGCTGTCACGATTGTCATCGTGCCGTCAGCACATTCACTTGTCAATGCCATCCACCAGCTGACATTGTTGACAAGTTTACAAAATACAAGAAAGAAATGTAAAAACAATAACTAAAAATGGCCCTCAGTTATCTTGCAGAGAGCGAAGCGCCGCGAGATTTCAAAGTTTCATCTACGGAGAGTGACGGACATTATAAGAAATGTGTTCTATGTTACACTGTTAAGAAAAACTTTTATTGCGCCGAATGTGTTAGACATGGAAACTTTGTGCATTCTTCGATGCCCTACTCAGACAGGTAAGCTTGTTTTCTCTTCGGTTAAAGTTAAATAAAGTATTCTCGGCTATGTATGTATTATTTATGAATTAGTCCTTAGCCTACATTGTTACATTCATGGTCATTAGCTAATCACTTTCTTTACATTACAAAATTCTCATTTTGTACATTGGAATAGCGTTGAATATCTTCACCAAGAATAGACCATAATTTAAACTAGTTGTTATTTTAATAAATCTCATACTAATACTTTATAAATGTGACAATAAAATGTTGAATGTATACTTGAATTTTATTTTATGACAAGACAGGAAATAAATGAGCAGCTACTAAAACTAATTGCTATAATTTCCAGATTTGCTGAAAAACAAGCTAAACTGATGCGTTTGAAACTAAATAGACAACATGTACTGGACAGATGTGAAAAATTGTTAGCACCAAAGCTTAGAAAAGACATTCTGCTCACAGAGAATAAATTGTCAAGGGACAAGTTGGACCTCGTGCGGCTCGCCATACAGCAACGGAGAAGTATTATAGAGGCCAAGAGAAAAGAGTTGACCGAGTTGAAAAGTCACAATAACGAGCTGCGACTCAAACTGCCAAGATATCAAAAGAGAGTAGCCAGTCTCGGGAAACATGCTCAACATCAACAACTTGAACTTCAGAACAAAATCAGTACTTACAATGACCGAGCCCAAGACCTCGCAGCACTGCGGAGATCCAGAATACGGCAATTTACTAAATACATATTTCCTGTTTACTTAAGCTATGATCCAAGGTAATTTTAATAATATTTTAGCTGCATTAAGTTTAGCTAAAAACATTTATATAAAAACTTACAATATAAAATATTCTGAAAAGTCAAGAGTAATTCCTCTAAGCAATATTACTTTGATAAGCTACGAGTCTCACTTTAACTAATTAATATATATTTGTCAAAAACAATGTATTTCAGTGATAGCATAGAGGACCTGGAGTTCCTGGGCGAGGACTCGGAGGAGGAGCCTCCGCGCAGGCCTCAGCTGCACATCGGCGCGCCCTGGATAGACGCAGACGGCGACTGCTCGCACATACAGGCCTGGGGTACCACTCTAATTAATGCATGCCTTCTGTTTAAAGTACAACACTCAGCAAATTGTGCTCCTTTTTATGCTTCT